TGCACATTAAGCTCGGCATTTTTTAAAACTACGTAAAGGCACTTGAGCATGAAGGGCCTGGATTTCAATATCTTATTAAACTGTTCCCCAAAATTTCTTACGCTAAAATCAAAGAAGGAATTTTTGTCGGACCAGATATAAGAAAATTGATTAATGATGACAACTTCACCAAATGTTTATCTCCTACTGAAGCAGCAGCATGGGCCTCATTTAAGAGCGTTGTTTGTAATTTCCTTGGAAACAGAAAAAGTAAAGACTACAAGGCAATTGTCGCGGATCTTTTGGACAATTATTTTAAATGTTCGCATGTCACTTAAAATTAATTTTTTGGATTCCCATCTGGAATTTTTCCCGGAGAACCTAGGCGATGTTAGTGACGAGCAAGGAGAGCGCTTACATCAAGATTTGCAGAAAATTGAAAAAAACTACCAAGGTTTTTGGGACGAGGGGATGTTAAGAGATTATTGTTGGTCACTTATATGTGAAACAAACCCATACAATTATAAAAAACGCAGTTCTACTGCACTTTAATTTAAAATGTAGTCAATTTTCTAATAAAATAACAAAAAATACCATTATCGTATATTTAAAAAACTTGACCTGATCCAGAAAAACGGATAGCAGATTAGTGATCAGCGCATGTTATCACCCTAAAATCACCTTTAAGTTGCCTGGGTACAAAACCTTGTATACCTGTGTTATAATCATATAATAATATGATTATAATAATTATTTCTTTCAGTAAAAATTCTACCGAGCCGCAAAAAATATATTTGGTGCTGTATTAACATAATTTTTATTTAACACTTCGATTTATAAAATTATAATTTTGTAATTAATCATTCATTATTTTTTTAAGTTAGATATTTTTAATGGACTCCCTTTTCCAACAAAAAAACCCAACAGACAGTATATTTCACATTTACGTTTATTTTCTTAAATTTAATTTAATATTTAGTTTTATTTTTTTTTGTAATAAAGGATTTTTTTTATTTAAAATTTTAAGTTGTTGATTGCTACTTTTTTCAAATGTGTATATTTCCAAAAAAAATTCAATTTTTATCATTTTTATTTTAATTTTTATTTCACTGATTTTCTGATGGATTATTTAAGGGATTCGTTTTTCTGGGCTTGAGATTGTTTCGCTTTCTCTACTGTGAAGCGTTAGGGTTAGCCAACCGTTGAGAAAACCTCTTGCCACGAGTTAAAGAACATTCAGCATGACATACTTAATAAATAAATTGAAATTTTTGTTTTTGTATTTTAACCTAATAAATTATAACTCCGTAAGTGAAAGAGCAAATAAACAATTTTTTTAATTATTATTTTTTTAAGTAGATTTAAAGATTATAAAAAAATACTTCATCCTATTTAAAAATCCAAAGTTACTCTCCGCCCCTCAATATAGAGAGAAGGGTAAATGTTAAAAATACACTCAAAGGCAAAATAATCGATCCACACAAATTTTCGATGAATTTCAATCGCAAATAACTTTTTTAATGTCAGATTTAAACAAATATTAAAGAATAATGTAGATAAATTAATGGAAACTCGCTCACAATTTAAAAATTTACTAAAAAATAGACGTACGTTTTTTACGATAAGTTTAAGACACTCTGTAGAGTGGCAAAACCGTATATTGTTCTAAATTAAGTTTTAATTATCAAGTCCCATATATTCTTAACAGTTTTGTTTTCGGTTCACCTCGATATTTTTATTTTTGTGGAAAATATGGATTTTTTTAAAAAACATTGCAATTTGCGATATTTTTTTTTTACAAAGAACTAAGGTGGCTATGGTCCATCCATAGCCTATGAAGGACGACAGTGACAGTTTTGTTGAAGCATCCCATACTTGGACATGTCATATACGGCTTTCAAAAGCTATCAAATTGTTTTTTGTAAATTAATGTGTTACTTTTGAGGTGTCTTCTTAATTTTAAAAAGGGATATGTCTACGACTGATGTTGCCAGAGCCATTGCTTTAATCCAGGATGGACGGTCACAGTATTACGGGGCAAGTGTTTTAAACGTCACAAGTACATGGGCGGTAAATCGGTTTAATAGGCATGGCGACTCGCCATTGGCGAGTACAGCACTGGCGTAGCGACAAATTTCCCCCCCCCCCCCGCGAAAATCTTTACTGGGCCCCCTGATTTCACATATTTTTTACATGTTTTTATACTGAAAATAAAACATCAGGTGACATGATATTTTTATTATTTTTATTTATTAAAAAAAATATTTATAAACGAAAAATAACCATAACAACTTTTTTACAAAAAGCGAATATTTTTTTAAAAATAAGGTTCTCCAATGTATCTACCTTTAACACAGTTAACTAGTTCAACACGATTTTACGAAATCACGTCATTAAAATTTTTTATATAGCCATTCTTGTTATTTTAACATATATATATATATATATTTCTTTTAACTTGAGACAGCTCAATATCTCGAGATTGCAGGGGTTCTTGCGTGTAATCCAGTCAAATAACTTTCTTCTTATCGTTCTCTCGCTTACTTGGACCTGTCGTACATCCTCCATTCTGTTTTTTACCTCCATAGAAGTTACTCCTCGGTCACGTAAAACATTAAGTCGAATAAAGCGATCATCTCGTTCATTCGTACACCTCTTTCTACCACATTGACTTCTTCTATTGTACTCATCATGCTGATTAAAACGATTTACAGCCCTTTGTACATTACTTGTTGTGGCGTTTAAAACACTTTCCACGTAATACTGTGACCGTCCATCCTGGATTAAAGCAATGGCTCTGGCAACATCAGTCGGAGACATATCCATTTTTAAAAGTAAGAAGACACCTCAAAACTAACACATTAATTTACAAAAAATGTCCAAGTATTGGATGATTCAACAAAACTGTCACTGTCATCCTCCATAGGCTATGGGTGGGCCATAGCAATCTTAGTTCTTCGTACAAAAAATATTGGAAAATGTAATTAAAAAAATCCATATTTTCCACAAAAATAAAGGGGTGAACCAAAAACAAAACTCTTAAGAATATACGTGACTTGATAATTAAAACTTAATTTAGAACAATATACGGTCTTAAACTTATGGTAAAAAACATATTTTTTGTTTAAACCTGTATATTATAAACGTTCGTCCATTTTTTAGTAAATTTTTAAAATGTAAGCGATTCTCTATTAATTTATCTACAATATTCTTTAATATTTGTTTAAATCCGAAATCAAATAAAAAAATTATTTGCGATTGAAATTCACCGAAAATTTGTGTGGATCGATTATTTTGCCTGTGAGTGTATATCCCCCGGTCGCATTTTTCCGTCTCTTATAGGGCTAGCGCAACCAAGTGCGCTAATCGTGTCCCGCCCCATTGAGCAATAGAGGTATAATATATCTAAGGGCAGGCTGGATTGTGACAATGGGGCGGGGTCGGTTGGGTTGGGTTGTTTGTGTACCTGCATAACCAAAATGACAGCTATTCGTCATACCCTTGAGGAATACTTTGCTACATTTAGCCTCTAGTGATATTACCTAATTACATGCGGTGCGTTAACCACTTAGGGAACGGAGATACAGGTCTCGCTTCCGTATCCTACACGATTAGCGCACTCGGTTGCGCTAGCCCTATAGGAGACTGAAGAATGCCCCCCGGTCTCCGTATTACTTTTAATTTTTTTAATCCATTTTTTAGATAACCCCTTGTAACTTTAAAAAATTCACCCTGTAGATTAACAAATTTAAACTGTTTATATTAACTACCTTAAATTGCTTGTTTCAAAGTGTTAAAATAATATTGATTTACATATCATAGGATGTAATGTCCAATCATGACATCTATTATACAAATAAAAAAATCGCTTTGGATTAATTTTAATATAACATTTGTTAATTTTATGCTTACTTGGCATAAAAAATAATTATACCAAGGTATGAAGGTACTTTTTAATACTTTATTTTATATTGAAATATTCGTTGCCCAGTTTTTTGTATTGACTTAGTTTTTAGTAAAATCATAAAATTACTAAAAACTGCACATGTGCTCTCGTTAATTACGCACTAAAAGCGCATCAATTTATTAAATATAATGCTTGCTAACTTAAAAAATGATGCTGTTTTATATTTTTAGATATACCTATAATAAGTTGTAGCAAGTGATTGTCTCCATTTTTATGTATACACCCCAGAGTGAAAAAATCTTTGTGTTCACCTTTCGATCATGGCATATAAAACATTCTAAAAATTGGATTTTATATTATTTTGGTTGATCAGATACATACACGTGTTAGGGCACCCAGACTTTGGAGACAAATGTGGCTCTACCAAAGTCGTCTTTGGCTACCCTTGGTAAACTCCGAAGATTTTTCGTCATTGTGAGCAAGGGCCACCACAGTATTGATATTTAAACTATAAAACATTTTCTCGAAGTATCTTTAAAAATTATAAAATAGGAAATTACAATAAACATACATAATTGCGTTATTTTAGTTCAAAAAGTTTAAATTTCATGTCTTAATAAATACTAAAATCATAATAAAGCGTTGTAAACATCTTTCCCTTTGCTTTTTCGTTTTTGAATTATAATAATTAAAAAACAGTATTGTTTTTTATTTATTTATTAAAAATCATTTAAATACAGATTAATATGCAAAAAAAGCTTTGCTTAAGGATATCTTCAAAATATTATATATAAACTACACATCTATAGATCCATTAGAAATGTGTGCGTTTTTCTGTTTAAAATAAATTAGACTATTTATAGCTTAACAATTTGCTACGCGTATTAAGATTTCTCTTTAAAATATTTATCTTGATTTATATTCTTAAATTTAAAACTAATAAGGGTTAAACATACAGAGAATCTTACTGCGGGTTACCAATTAAGCACTGTTTATCGCACTGTCTTTGTCAGCATTAATTAAATAATCTGCTATTTAATTATTAATAAAATCAGTCATGATCGTGTAGTATACGCTTTTTGTGTTTGCTAATGTGTGTTGTGTTGTTAAACAGCACGAGGGGGGTATACACTCCACCGAGTCTATGACGAGAGCCCTTATTAGTGACGACTCTATAGCCCGACAAAGCACCCTAGGTCCCGTGCAGTTAGGGTATGTATCATCCCTTATCATTAAAATCTATTCCAATTGAATGTCTTAATACATTTGTTTAATCTAAACATTCACTAACATCCATTGCATAATTTTATGGTAATTAACTTACTTTGGAAGAAGAGGCGGGAAGAAGGTATCGTCATGGTGTAGGTTTTATTTATTTTAAGGGCTCACTAAAAATATAATTCGTTTAATGTAAAAACAGAAAAATAAATAAAAAAACAATAAAATGTGCATGCTGCAACAAACCAACATGTTCTTGTAAATGTATTTTTATTATGTATACTGATTCAAAATTTAAGGCGACTTATTTATAAAAAAATTGCATTTGCAAAAGTGCCACTAATTTTGACATCAGTCTAGCAAAATAAAAACTACACCATGTTAATGCATTTCAATATTTTGGTAATACATTAATATTATAAAATGTCTAAACAACCATCTATTGGTAGAATATGTTTTTTTTAAATTACCCTACGACAAATCGCTGGCTTGGTGCATAAGTCCATTTTCAAAGAAGTGAAGAAAAACACTATTAAACATTTCTATTTATTGTAACTAAATTGTTTTTTGCATAATTTGTATTTATTTATTAATCTTTGGATGTAAAACCTTTCAACTTTTAAAAGAATGACGCAAAAAACAATTTAGTTACAATAAATAGAAATGTTTAATAGTGACATAAGATAGCCTTGCACCAAACCAGCGAAATGTTGATTAAGAAATTAAAGATGAAGTGAAAACAACAAGTTTAGGAATAAAATGTTTATGAAAAACAACAAAATTCAATATTCTATTTATTTTGAGATTGTGCTCAATTTTTTTCTTCTTTTCTTGGTTACTTGTATTCGCCTCAGTCAAAGGGGCGAAGTTTTCTGCGTCGAGACTACCAGCGCGTAGAACTGAAATTTAGAACTTTTTGTTAAATTGAAGTTTTAACAGCAACTTTGTTTAACAATTGCAATAAAAACATTTAAAATAAGTGAATGAATTTTAAAAATCGGATGAGGATTGCCAACTTTAAGAAACTTATTTTTATAAACATTTATTTGTTTACAGCTAAACCAAACTCCATGCAGTTATCCGATTTTTATTTTTTTATTGGGTCAAGGCTTTAGTCAGACATAATTCAGAGTCAAGGTACAAGTATTTTTGGCTCATTTTTTCTGAAACATTTGGAGCGGTAGGCTCGTCACAAGGGCCTCTTTTAATACCTAAATTATGCATGCCAACTGTCAACTTTTTTAAATTAAACCCATAAACAATAATTCAATTGTGTAGGACCACATCGGCCAATGTAGAGCCTTCCAGAAAAAGGTTTCCAAACCTTACATTCCAATTTTGCCTAATTTGTAACATATTTTGTGTGATCAATGTGATCCGTACGTATAAATGTATCTGTATTCCGTAAACATTATATTTTTAAATTTTATCAAATTTAAGTAACCAATTTTAACAGTTTTTGAGTTTTAGCATAAAAAAATTTGTGCTACTAAACCCTGATATTTCTGAAAATTTATAATTCATAATTTTGTTTAATTCTTTGAGATATTTTTCATAATACGTGTCTAAAACTAATTCTTCTATCGAATTCAGAAACAGCTTGTATTTACTTCATCTTACCTATAGATCTCACCTAACTTATTAACTTTTTGTACAGTTTTCCGCAAAAATACACGGATCTTGAGGATTTTTTGCCATGGTTAGTAAGTGTAGTTAAACAAAAAGTAAAATAAACTCCTAGGCAAGGTTCGATATGTTTGTTCTATTTTCTCTAATACACAAATTTTAATGAAGTACCGCATAATGGACCAATGCGCGGAGATGCATACTTCATTAAGGTTAAGCGCAAATTAAACTTAATTAAAAATACATATGGGTTTTTATTTGTAAAACACAGATTTAAATGAAGAACCCATGTGATTAGTAATTGTTTTTATTTTATATAAACTAAAGGGATTAACAAAAAAAAAGAGGTAAAAGTAGCAGAGGTTTTCAGATTTAATCAATATTAACTAAATTAATAACCTTGCTTAAAGGAGTTTATTTATGTTTTATATTGTCGTAATTCTTGCTTTCAATTTTTAAAAACTTCTTACAGTAAGCTAAAGCGCATGTCTAAACCAGATTATTATATATTTTTTTTAATTGGTTTTAACATAATAATAAACTTATTATACAAAAACCCTCCAAATAACCTTGCATGGGAATTTTGGCTTATTGCGCATATTAATAATAAATCTTTTCATAAAATATAAATATTAATGTTTTTTAAATTAAATATGCATATACAGTATAGCAAAACTGATTACTACTAATAAGTCGATTTTTAACGTTGAAAAAAAATTAGACGCGCTTTAAAACGGAGTTTTTTTGTGCTGCCGCGCATAGTCCAGAAAAATTATACATTTACATGGAAAAAATTTGTACAGGATGTACCGGCTACGATTTTGAATTTTTACTTTATACATATGTCTGAGTAATAGTCTAAGATCCCAAGTAAGGTCGACCTTCACCCATCAGCTTACTAGATGAAGATTATATTTTAACAAATAAAATATGTTTCTGAACATAAACCAATAGGGTTGCCATAAAAAATATGATCATGGCTATAATAAATAAAAAATTAAAAAAATAATTTATTTTTTAAATTTCACCGACTTGCTTGCCAAATGAACGAAATTCCAATGGAAAGCATACAACATACAGAATATGTAACATGCCTACCTTTTTCTGGTCCCTATTACCTGGTTGCTTTGTACAAACAGGTAAGTTGATATCAGTAATTGCACTCATATGCTTACCACTTAAAAAATATATCAAAATGAAGGCAATTTTATTACGAATACAGTAATATAGGGTTGCTTTGAAAAATCCGTTCATAAATAACGGTTGCTAGCACAGACCTGTCTGTCTGTGGTTGCTAGACTTTTAAATTAAAAAATTGGAGCAAGCAAAGATGTACTATTGCTAACAAAAAAAACTTATACAGCTATATTGTGGCTGTGTGAATAAAACTTTTCCGTCAATGTCAAGGTGGCATCGAGCTGTCACATCAATTATGACTTTATGAACAAAATTTAGTATTTGAGTACCTATATGCTATTGAGAAGCGTTTTGGAGCAAACAGTTCGTTTATAAACACGTGTTTTGTGAAAAAAATAGAAATGGTGAAGAAGTGTTTTTTATGTAAATCAAGTGAATCAGTGATTGACTTTGATGAAAAATCTTTTGAGAATTGTTTTTTGAAGTTAGCGTATTCGTAATAAAATTGCCTTCATTTTGATATATTTTTTAAGTGGTAAGCATATGAGTGCAATTACTGATATCAACTTACCTGTTTGTACAAAGCAACCAGGTAATAGGGACCAGAAAAAGGTAGGCAACCTAGCTGTTACATATTCTGTATATTGTATGCTTTCCATTGGAATTTCGTTTATTTGGCAAGCAAGTCAGTGAATTTTTTATTTATTATAGCCATGATCATATTTTTTATGGCAACCCTATTGGTTTATGTTCAGAAACATATTTTATTTGATAAAATATAATTTTCATCTGGTAAGCAGATGAGTGAAGGTCGACCTTACTTGGGATCCTCTACTATAAGCTTTAAAGAAATATGGGCATTTTCTTTTATACTAAGAAATAAATATTATTTGGCACTAGTGTGATCTGCTTGTAGGTAAATTTATTTGCGTCTTACGTTTCAATCTCAAAAAGCCTTGGTTACATAATCACCATAGATTAATCACCTTAAAATAAATATATCAATATATGTATTTGTCTTTTTGCAATTTTTCGAATATATTCGAACGGGGTTGGTATGATTTTAAAAATGGTTATTCATTCTCCTTATCGTACTTATAAACTGTGCGAAGTTTGATTAGTTTTTTTATAAATTATAATGCATTTAAGAAAAGTGTAAATAGAAGTCTATAAAAAATGCATGTATTACCTATTGAAATTCCAAGTGCGATTTTGCTAATATTTTACACAATTTTTTTTATATACATATTTTTTGATCACTTTTTAGGCCCCACCCCAATACACAGGGTGGTCATTTTTTTTAAAAACCTGTAAATTTAAAATAAAATATGAACGATTAAATATGGTTATTCACTACGTGACAAATAAATTATTAAGGTTAATTTTTTGTCAGAGCTAATTACGTCCCATTTTCTAAAAATAATACAATTATGTATTTTTTGTGTTCTAATTTAAGACCTTAATACAAAAAATACATGTACTGCATAATTTACAGAAGAGGGTTACATGATCATTAATTGGTTTGGCAAAATTTCTTAAATCCACACGGGTGGCATGCTGGTCATCTATGGTATTAATGATTTTAAATCCATATAAAGGTAAACTCTCAATATAATTCTAAATTGTTTGATTATCGTCCAACAAGTTTATATTTGTGTCACCAAAAATAATAGTATTTTTTAGGCTAGCAAGAATCTGACAAAGACTGTCAAGAAATAAGTCAGAACATGATTTTGGTTGCTTGTATAAAGCCCATATGTTTAAATTGATTTCTTTTACTTTTATAACTAGGAAGTTGTTATTATTCAATAGATTATTGTATATATTGGTAATTCTCCTCCTCTTAAATTATCTCCACGTGAATACGTTCCATTGAAATTTTGTATATTATAGTTGTCGTTAGAGCAAAGCAAAGTTCCGATAGCGCAATAATGTCATGTTTTTTGTTTAGCAAGCTTCTAATGTTTAGGTGATTGTATGGCGCGCCGTTTGATTTTTTATTCAGGAAATATTTATTTCTCCATTAAATTTCACATATCTCTAAAATATTTAAAAATATCAAATGAAAACTTTAATTTATTGCATTAAAAATATCATAGGACAAATTAATAAATCGAAATGTTAAAGTGATATTTTTAATTCGTTGAATAACAAATATCATAGGACAAATTTATAATTGGATTAACAATTCCATAAGAGAAATTTATAATTCAAATTATAAATATAATGGC